CTAATGAACAACGATGTTTATTTTATGCTAAATATCGATGACATGTTAAATCAAATCATTGATGGATAATAAAATTAATTTAAATATTGAGATTCACTATAAGTTTATTCACCAATGAATCGATATGTTACATCATCAGTACTTAATATAAGATGATCACCGATATTAATTAAACAATTCCTTTAAGTATAAAAGATATCGGATCCCATTCACAAAAAATTAAACTCTCATTATTACTTTTTTTTATTCCCTTAAAAACACAAAATAATGACTTATGACATGTTTGACATACGAAAATGAATAAATAATTATTTTTTTACACGTCTCTCTCGTACTTAATTATGTTTCGAGTATTTCATACCAACTTAAGAGAGTTGTTGGTGTTGGGGTACAATAGTGAAGGGAAAAGTAAAAGTGGAGAGCGGTTAATTATGCGTGGATTGTGGAATTTGTGGGACATGAGTAAACAGCACAATGTGCGAATTGAGGGATACAACAAACTTTTTCACTAAATGAAGGATTGCGAGGGACCCCCACACTCAATCCCCATTTGCATGCCTATCAAAGATGGGACCCATTAGCTAGAACATAACTATTTTTTTTATTTTTTTTGTAAAACAATTAAAGCCCAATTTAACTCAATTTGCACTTTAGCCCCTGTTTGACCCCCATTACGTGAAAAAATTAATGGGTGGAATAATATTTTTTTTTAAAAATGAGTAATTGAAAAAGAATGAAAAATTTTCGATTTACGTGTAATATTATTTTATGAAAGATCGTGTGCTTGAAAATAAGAGAAAGAAAAATAAAATATAATGAAATTTAATGTAATGGGGCTCAAACAGGGGCTTAATTAATATGGTAAAAATATGTTTTCAAATTTAAGCTGGTTCGAGTATTAAATATGTCATAAATTTAACTGATTTTTGACAAAATTATGGATAAATCTTATTTGACAGGTTGATGGGAAAATTAAATTTTCATATTTATTGTTTTGTAAATAATTGAAAGAAACTTTATTTGAAATTCTCACTTGCTATTGTCATACTTTTAATAATGCATGTGCATGATTCCGTCTACCTGCTCAATCTAGATGTCCATTCCATTTGAAAACAAAATAAAATTTGGAACTTCAGTCATGGAATTTCTAAATGATGGTTGATATGGTCAAAATTGTCAGTAACTTCACCTAGAGTTCTATGTTTCGAGGACTTTAATTATGACCTCTTGTGAAGATTGGCCCGACCTTGCGGAATCTCCATCTTGAGTTGGCATCAAGACTCCCTCACCAAAATTTGTCACCTCGATAATCCGACATCTAGAGTGGCACCTCAATAGTAGATCACATTTATCGTTGACCGTTATCAATACTCAATAATCCTATGTCAATAATCGCCCTTCTCATGGTCTCGACCGTGAAATCACCCCCATAAGGCATACATCGAGTTGTTTTATAAGCAGTCTAGATAGCTCAACCGTTTTTGAATCTCAATAATATCAAATGATTTCCGATTCTTTCTTTTAGATATGTCCTTTTTGAAGTTATTTGATTATGTAACTTTTTTAACTATCGCTGATCGAACAAATCGTCTATTTTAAAGAAGTTGTAAATGGTCCGTTTAATGACAATAAAAGAAAAAAGAATTTATCTTTCTTTAGATGATCATAGTCATTCGGACGACCGACATATGAGAGAAGAAGATCTTTTTCTTTTCCCTTTCCCTTAATTTTCTTTTTCTGTATATAAATATTTTATTTATTCAACTGAGTGTAATAACACAGTATTGTTTAATTTTTTACTTCTCAAAAACGCGTTTTTGCTGTGGCAACACGTTTATAGACACACGACATACGACCTCTATAACTTTTTGTGGGTCATTAATTTTTTTAGTTGCTATTTTGACATTTTTAAATAGAGATTACAATTTTTTCTAGAAATAATTTATATTTTTTTGTTATACTTTCGTTGTTTGCTCATAATTTTGCGTGTTAAAATTTTTTAATGTGTTTAATTTTTATTTATAGTTGCACAACTCCATATTTGACTTAAAGAAACAATGAAATATTGATTGACTAATATCAATGAATGTCCTAATAATTGATCCAAATTCAGAAAAACGGTGTCTATGACATATAATCGAATCGAACTGTCAATATAAAAGGTTTTAATATTTTAACAAATTGACCTTATTCCTTGTTAATTAAGATCATATCCATTTTTTATTGGACTCCTTGTAGACGCAGTGTACAGGCGGTTATTGTTTCCTAACCTATTGGGACACATCCCGCGATTTACCTCCCTCACAAAGTTTTAGAGACGAGGCGGTGAAGGCTCTCAAGATTGGGGTTCAACCTTTAAGTTCATATCCATTTTTTATATTTCCTTTTTCTCCTTTTTGATGTGAAGGGTGGGGCCGTGGGGGTGGTGTTGAACTTAAAATTCTGGCGCGATTAACGGGGCAAAAAACTATTGGTAGAATTTCACTGTCAACATTTTATATCTTGCTAATGCCTTTGTTTTACATTTTCTATTGCTTCCACATGTTGATTTTTACTGCTCGCAACCAAATGGATGTGACATGCTCTCAAATGTCAAATGTGATCTTCGATATTTCGTGATTGAATTTTCTACAACATAGTGAACATTACCATCGATTTTGTGGGGGTAATTGCTCCAATTTCAAAGATTGGCTTTAAAAAACGAACATACATAAGAATTAAAATACTGCATTTCAAGCCTCTCATGTGGTGATCGAATTTGTAGAGTAGATGAGTGCGGAGGTCTTTGATCACGAGTTTGATTCCTCTACCAACACTTTATCGATCGAGTCTGTTGTATAGGACTTGTCTAGTGCGATTTACCTAGCTGATGTGGTTTGCAGGCTATTGCATCAGTCAAAGAGTTTAACCAGTACGTACCCGTAAGGTAGCGACTATGAGTTCCCCGTCATAAAAAAAGATACTGCATTTCAAATTCATGATGTTGCGAAATTTAGATCTGTAGTCCAACTTTTGCTGTCCATCAAATTATTTACTATAATTTAGTGTGATCGAGAAAGTACTTAATAGTGTTAAATAGTTGCATCAGTAGAAAATTAAAATTGATAACATGTTAATTTAAAATGACGTGTCAATAATTAATTAAGTAGAAAGCAAATTGAACAACAAAAGTTGGACAATAGATTTCAGCTCGATGTTGATTTGTTACAAAAACAAGAGACGTCTTCAAATTGCACATGTTTTTCAAGTAACTGTTTCTTGGAAGCAACACAAAGTTCTAAAAAAATTATGCTGTCTAATGTTGAACTCATGTTCACATATCAACTGACATTGTTAAAACTATCTTGATTAACGAAATTGCAAGACGAACAATATTGCAATTGGATAGAAAATTGCGTCTTGTTGTGCAGAGAAGATGAATATTCTTTGCGTTTTGCAGATTGGAGTTTCTGGAATGTACTAACAAATTGTCATGGAAACAGAATGTACGTAGAACTACATGCTTTTGTCAACACAACACCTAAAACATCAACCGTACGCGTCTCGGGATGTCAAACGGCGGACCAAGTGGCTCGTCGGTTCGACCGCTCGACTCGTTAAAACTTGACTCGTGGGCGACGAGCCGAGCAGGGGCTCAATCCCACGAGCCGAGCTTACTTGGCTCGTCGAGCCCAGTTCATAAAAAAATGTAAAGAAAAGTAAAAAAAATCCAAAAAAAAAAAATAATAAAAAAAAATCGTGGCTTGTAAACTCACGAGCTCATGGGCCGAGCTGAGCTCGTGGGCTAAAGGCTCGGCTCGGCCCACTGCTATCACTATGGGCGTCTCCACCTCCATGTATCGGATGCCTAATAATGTGGACAATTCGGCAAAAAGTCAAAGTAGACTTTTCGTATGCTATTTTCGGACAATTTGGTTAAGTTACAAACGGTAGCAATTTTGATATTTCATCCACTCTTAATATGCTTTATGATGACAAATATCAAGGCTCAAGTTAATGTATTATATTAGTACAACAAAATATATCGACTAATATAAGTATCCAATATCAAAATTAGGATTAATGATGGTAGTTGACATTTTATTACCAATAACACATGGAACACCAACTAGCTGAGCAGAGTAGGGGCATCTCCAAGACAACATAAATTCCTTAAAAATTGTGCTACATAAATTAACATAAATAGTATTTATCTCCAATACAAATTGAAGGGAGTTTTGCTATTCTAACAAGGCATTTGACAGGCCCAAGTGAGCAGCAAAACTCAAACTAAAATAACAAAATTTACAGAAATCAAACAGCTTTCACCTATCTCAATAATTCAGGTCTCATCGAGAGGGATCGGATCCCAAAACAAAAATAAGAACAACAAGAGATTTGGGAGTAGAATTGGAATAATAGGGTTAACATTACTCCCAAGGCGTTTCCTTCTCAATCTTTTCCACACATATTGTCTCCTTTCTTCTTCACCCCACCGTGCTTCCTCCACTCCCTTGGCCAGTACCAGTGGTGGCGGCTGCTGAAATGGACACTTGGACCGCCAGGAGGTGTGAGGGAGCCCAAATCTTGACACCCTTTTGAGGAATTGAGAGAAAGCCCACTTCAAGAGGAGAGGCTGCGAAGCGGCGGAGGCGTGGCGACAGAGAAGCGGTGGGTAATCCCAATTGAGGTAGCAGGGGAGTTGGGTGGCTACGAAGTACTGGGAATGAAGAGGTGGTGTGGTTGTTGGGTAGGTTAAGACGTGGGTTAAGACATTGAGTTTTTGCTCCCATGTTGAGTTTTCCATCATGTCCGGTTAACAGGATGGAAGTTCCACGCAGTGGTGGCTTAATCGGATAAGGAGATGAAGTGGACAAATTTGTTACCTCAAAAGAATTATTATTCAGGTGATTTTAGGGCATGCAAATAGTAATTAACGGGAGGAAATATAGTTTAATAGCCTAAATAGAAGGAGGATTTTCCAAATTAGTCTAAGAAATAAAAACATTTGAAAATTAGTCTCCAAACAATCAATTTTCCAAAAATACCCTTAACAGATAAATTGCAACCAAAGCCACTATAATGTCTAAAAATCTTCAAATAAGTCCTCAAAGAAATATAGATCAAAATTCTTTAATAAATTTAGATCCAAATATTATACAAAATTTTATTGACCTAAAAACCACTACAAAAAATGAATTAACCTATTTGGAAGAAGATCTGAAAGACTTCTTTATAGAATATTTAGACCCAAAATTAAAAAATAAAGATGATTCCATAGATAATGAAGCAATCAAAATGGAAAAAGATATATATAAATTAATTCTTAATTTAAGAAGGAGAATTGAAAAATTAAACATAATTATTCAAGAAAAAATATTGGTAAAAAATAGTGAATTTTATAAATTTTATTGTGATATTTTAAATACTTATGAAGAATTTAATTGGCTCAAAAATATTAACCCCTCCGTTGCACACTCCGACGAAATGATATCAGAGCCAGATTACGAACCAAAAATTATGATGAATATAGTAGATGAAGAAAATATAATAGAAGAATTTTTGAAAAAAGTTGAAAAACATAAAAAACCTAGTTATCCTTATTTACCTAAGAATACCACAAATGAAAATTTTGGGGATATACATAAAAGATTAGAGAATCTAGAACATAATCTACAAATAGGAAATGCCCTATTAGATAAAAACCTTAGAGGAAAAAATAGGATTATAATTAATCCACCCCAAGATTTTAGGATAACACAAAAAGAAAATAATAAAGGGAAAAAACATGAAGAAAAACAATACATGATTACAGATGTAGAAGAAATAGAACAAAAATTCTTAGAATCTACAGGAGAAGGGTATGAAGAATATAAAAAACAGTTAGAAGAATTAACTGAAAAAATGGAAAATATAAAAATGAACACTAATCCATCTTCAAGTCATGATATAAAAGTAGAATTCAGTAGTGATGAAGAACAAGATTATCCTTATTATACTCCAATACCACAGAAAGATGGTCTTAATCAATATAGAAAAACACAGAAAAGATACACTGGAAATGTAAGAAAACAATCCATAAAAGAAATAAATCCAATGAAATCTTATAATGAACCAATTCACACAACGGGAGTATGGTTAGATTTAGACTGCGTAGATAAAGATAAAGCTATTGAAACATGGATAAAAAGTACAGATTTAGCTATACAATTTAACAAATGGGAAACATATACAGCTTTTGGATTTATAGAACATACATTCAGAGGAATTGTTTCTGAATGGTGGAGAAAGTTATCAGAAATTATTAAAGGAAGAATAAAATATGAAACAAACAGAACTGAGGTATTAGATAATAGAAATACTTTAAATGAACAAAATATACAGGAAATATTAAAAAGATTTGAAAAAATCTTAAGAACAGAATTCTTAGGAGATAGGTATGCTTCTAATGAAGAAGAAAGAAAACAAGATGAATATAACCAAGGAATGATTTTAATGGAAAATTTAAAGATATGTGATATGTGTGAGTTAGAAAGATATACATGTAAATTTGAAGAATTATACTATATATTTAATCAAGGAGACTACCAGGAAAATAAACCTATTTTAAGGTTTTACTTTACCAAGTTACCATTCCCATGGGGAATCAAGTTACTAAAAGAATATGAGAAATTACTACCTCTAGGAAAAGAGGAAG